CATCTTTCTTTGGGAAACGACCGCACTAACGATGAAGACACTGCTTCCAAGCACCTCACATACGAGCGGCCATCAGGACACAGATAATGAATCGGAATGGGAAGGGGAGAGCGGAAATCTCGAGCAGTCTCCATTTCTTACGAGCAGCAATCATCATTTGCATGTCTCTAGGATGCAGCGAAGAACTAACTCAGATCATCGAAAAGCAAATGGAGTACACGTTGCACGAAGCCCGTCGTATGGAAACGAAGTCTGCAGCTCAAGCAAAGAACTACCCGTCGTGCGCCAAAGCGCACACCAAATGGCGTCGGCAATGATATTCAACGAGGAACATTGGGATTATCAACCCACAACAATACTGATTGACTCCGGCGCCCAGCGAAGCTTTATCAGATCAAAACTTAGTGAAGAGCTCAAGCTGCCAGTCGGCCAAACGACGTCATTCACCACATCAGAAATGGGAGAATTGAAAGAGACATTCAGTTCCAATGAAGTACGAATTACTTTGAAAAGCTTTCACAACGCAAAGAAGCTCAAGAAGATATCAGTGCACACGAAAGACAAGTTGACTGCCAATCTACATACAGCATATCTCACAGATGCAGATGTTCAGTTCATTTCCAATAAAAACTTGAAGATAGCTCAAGATACGCTCACTCATAAAAGCGTCTTGCCTGAACTCATTATTGGACAAGATCTTCTCAACTTCGTCACTGTTCACACCGAAACAGTGCTCAAGCTTCCTTCGGGGCTCGTCTTAACCCCAACCATCTTTGGATATGTCATATCCGGTACAAGCCGTACCAACGTGAGCACAGAGATCGTTGGCACTTTTGGTTGTACATCAACGATGCAGGAAGCCTCCAAATCCGCCCCTCACCCTCAACGACACGTCAAATGGCTGACGACGAAGAAAACGTGCACCAATTTCAACGAAAGCAGTGCACATGCAATCAACAGGAAAATTCTCCAAGCGCATGCTGAAGTAACATCTTAAAAGGCAACGAAGTTGTTACCGAAAAAGAGGAAAAGGCGGACAGCTGCTTTCAACCGCAAAGCTAAGGAAGACAGACAACGCTGGCTGGCCAAAATTGGCTGCATATTAGGCTCTAGTTCCAGCTCCAACACGAGGAGTGCGAATGGAACTCTTGCCAGAACACTTCGACCGACGTCACAAGCTAACATAAAGATGACGGACATGCCGAAGATCACACATCACAGACATCTGATGACAGACACCACGGCCATCACGAAGACAATCACCGATAACGATTCTGTCAACTCAAAATCGACGAGGGCGGAACCGACGAGGAAAAAGAGACGACGACGAAAGGCGAAGGTACACCACGGAACAGCAACCACCAACCGCTACAATTGTCTACCGTAAATTCTCCTCTGTCTGTAGCTCCCATAAGTATGTCTAAGTCTATACAAATCTATACTTTTGTTATATCTTGTGCTTACCAGATTAACTTCTTGCTTGCTCGCCCGTAGTGTTGATGATCTATGAATCATCAACCTCGACAACCAGTCTAATAGCTTACACTCATGAACACAGCTATATCTCAATTTCTAAGTACAAATGCTTTTAGGAGGTTTTGATTGTATTTATTTATTTACATCTCAACAGATTTCGCCTCCTTCTTGCTCGCCGGGAGTGTTGATGATTTATGTGTCATCAACCTCAGCAATTCTATAATCTTAATACCTTACGGGTATTCCCCATGGGCTATACTCCCCAACCGCTTATATTTAAGTGCCGAATCACTCACCAATGAGTGGCACCTATCTTCCAGGGGCCGCGCCAAGCCGCGGCATCCTCTTTCTTGCATATATTTCCTGGACCTTCCGATTGTGCACGGGTCAGCTCCGCCTTACTACCTATATAAGGAGCCCCCGATTGTATTATAGGTTGCTCCCCCGGTTCACCGGGTTCGTCTGTGGATAAATTATTATCGACACCACTATCGCCTACGACACTTGGTTCCCACCAAAACAATCCTTGTGGCAATATCAACGCGCCTATAACTTCGCACTTCAAAACGACCGACGACATTATATGAAAGAAATATTCTGTGCAACTTATCTGCCAGGAACATCTCCGAAAGTGCGCTTCGATTCATCGTAAAATTATGGTTAATGGGAATTCTAAAAAGTAAACTTTTTAGTAAGTAGAAGTAAGTAAGTAAAAGTAAGTAAGTAAAGGTAAACTTTTCCAATGAACCATAATTTAACCACGACCATAATTTTTAGAAATTCCCCCTGACATTATGGGTTAGATTAGATTATCAAGATTTTTCTTGCAAAACTATGCGAAGTGCTCATATAAGCTTTACCTCATAAGAGAGTTTCTGTGATTATAAAATTGATTCAAAAAAGAAGCACTAGAAAAACGTTGCGTACAAACTGGTGCTTTCATTCGCGCAATTTTTCTTTGTGTCCTCAAACTATCTCTTTTCTGTGATTCGCAAGTCCAGCGCTTTAGCGAGCTAGACAAGCTGTTCTAGCAGCTAGGATTCGGTGTATCGTTAGGCACCCGTTGTTAAAGAACCAAGGGGCGTGGCTTAGTGTATACCCCTAATGGCTGGGTACCTAACGCCCGCACCTCGGCTGGGTACCTAACGCCACGCACCCCGGTTAGCGGAATTAAAAAGATCGCTCCGGAAGCTAGGACCGTGAATTCACAGTGGGGAGGACCCCGCCCACTTTTGATTTCACTCCTGTGTTAGAAACCTTTTTTGCAGTTTTCGCGCTTTTCAGTGTGGACTTTCGGATTCAGCATGGCGAATAGGCCCGGGTAAGCACAAAATCTCAAAATCGACTTTTTGCCCGGACACTGCCTTCAAAGGAAGAAAACGACGAAAAAGGGCATTAACACTGGAGGGTAATTAGCAAGTGGGCGGGGTCTTCCCTGTGAATTCACGCTTCCAGCTTCCAGAGCAATTTTCTCGAATCCGTTAGCCGCCCTGACATCACTACCGATCAAGTGCAAACGAATGACTTGAAACCGGAATCAAAAAGATCGCCCCCGAAGCTGGGAGCGTGAATTCACAGTGGGGAAGACTCCGCCCACTTGCTGATTTCCCTTCAGTGTTAGAGCCCTTTTTCGTCGTTTTCGCTCTCCCATGTGGATTTTCGGTTTCAGCATAGCGAATAGGCCCCGGTAAGCACAAAATCTCAAAATCGAGTTTTTGCCCGGACACTGCCTTTAAGGTTGTGTGCCGCACCCCATTAACTATATCAAAAAAACAATTTTAGCGGACATTATTTATATGAATCGATAGCCTAAACCTTTTAGATTCCATAGGACTGTTTGGAGCCTGATTCGTCTTCTTGGCTCTGAGTAATATTTGGTGAAAGCACAGTGATCAAAAGCGAAAAATGGGAAAAACGAGATTTTGGTTGGTTTCTAATTCCACAGTTTGGAGGTCTTCTGAAGCGGGATTCCTGAGGTGGACAAAGAAGGAGTAGTGCTTTGTTTTGAGTGCAAAAACGGATAGATAATTCACCTTTGAAACAAAGTTAATCATGTTGGAATTTAACCATTTCACTTAGGTAGCCTAGTATCTTAATCTTCAGAATTCGCTCACACTTTGTCTACATGGTTATTTGACATGCTGATTATGGATATGTTACCCATTATGTTGACAGGGCCTTCAAGTAATGCTATTAGGTGTATAGTTCAGGGGGGGGGGGGGTCTTATTAAAACAACAATCAGGGGGGGGGGTCGTAACCAGCGATCTTGTGCCACACCCCTTGCTTGACCCCGTTAAAGGCAGTAGGTCGGCAGAATGAGACCCGTGGCAGAACAAGGTCACAGGGTAGGAGCCCCCATAATGGAACCTATGGGTCAAAGTTCGGTCTTTCTCTGCCACTTCTAACCCCCGGAATTTCAAAGCGAAAGCAGTGCTCATCTCCTGTCCTCTCCGAACCCGCCCACCCCATGGACGAGTAAACGCGAAGCCCCATGGCGACGCAGAGTCGTTGCGGGACCTCATGCTTATAGCATTGCGGCTGGCGCTCTGACCGCGGAAGTCACTCGTCCATGGGGTGGGCGGGTTCGGAGAGGACAGGAGATGAGCGCTGCTTTCGCTTTGAAATTTCGGGGGTTAGAAGTGGCAGAGAAAGATCGAACTTTGGCTCATAGTTCCATTATGGGGCTCCTACTCTGTGACCTTATTTTGCCACGGGTCTCATTCGAATGTGCCTTTCCTCAGCTTCCTTGCCCATCATGACTCTCAATAAAATCATTGCGTATCCTAAAATCTTACAGATAAGTCCCCTTTTTTGGCAAGAAAAATCGATGAAAATGCACTCTCGCACTGCCAAGAATCTTGCGGATAAGTCTTTCTATCACATATATCCGGCTACAGATTAGTCCGGACTTATCTGACAAGATTTCAGTGTAGTTATGATGGAAAGAAAGCGGACTTATCTAAGACGAACTATCTGAAGGGCCTTATTCGAGTCAAAAGCGGACTTATCTGACGGCGGACTTATCTGTAGACGGACTCATCTGATGGGAGGACTTATCTGTGAGGGTAATTCTATGCACTACGGATCAGAATGTGCAGTGCCTGTCTTACAAGCTCGAACTTGTTTTATTCTATACTAGCGAGGAATGCCTTTTCAGTCCAAGTAGCCATTCTATCAGGGATATAAATGTTGCTGAAGTCTGTGATAAATGCTGGTCTAGATTAGGCAATCCCTATCTGCGAAACGCATTTTGAAGAATTCTGTGGCGTCAAAAACAAATGCAAAGCTACTCGTGAAAGGATTTGAACATGCGATTCTCTGCGCAGTAAATGACCTTACATGGGCTGCACCATTCCATCTGCAGTTCCTCTGTATTAAGTAGTTATCATCATAATCAGACTTGTGGATTTTTCAGAGAAGCTTTCCACGGACAAGCATAGCAGTTTTCTAATCAGCGTCCATCACTGACTTCTGACTTCGGCAACATACACATTTCACTCACTCAAATGGCCACCAGCTAAAGAGGCATTCCTTGTAAGTTAAGTTGATTTTTCTCCACTTGTTCAGCGCACACATGCATCGTTTCTCCCGATTTTCCATTTCAAGATCTACGAAGATGCGTTTTACACATCAACACCATACGGATTTCCTGAGTAGTAAAGTTCGTCTCTGATGTTCACTGGCAGCCTCAACATTCCCTCGTGCACTCACATGAATAGCGGAAGATTTTCCGTCTCGGGCACGGTATGTTTCGTGCAAATGCACACAACGTCTCGCAAAATTCTTGAAAAATTTTGTGTGGGCATCGCGTGTGCGGGTCGATAGGGGGCCGTCCGCCTTGTTTTGGTGCTGTTACTTCTTCCACGTATATCGACTTGCTCACTTTACATTATAAAATTGTGACTGGCATACTATAACAGTCTGAGGTAGCAGTGGGGGGAGGGTTGAGGGGGGGGGGGGGGACAGAAGTAGGGGACCCGACGATGCATGCCGTAAGATCGATGTTCTCAGCAAGTAATCAGTATCACGAAATGAGAACTAGATGCGCGACTTTTCGTCTCTTGTTGTCTTACCGTAATCCACTCACCGTAATCCGCAACAGCGTCGTCGTGTAGTTTTAGTCGGGTATTTTCAACGCGTTTATCCCGAGGTTTTTCTGCGCACCTTCAGCCGTAAAAACTCATTGTTCAGTAGACGGGAGAGTTCAGCTGACTAATATTCTTTTTGAATGTCTTTTTTGTGGGGATTCCCTGGGCATTTAGTCCATTATCTCATGCAAATTTGTAGATAATTTCTCTCTACAGCAAACCGCATATTATTTTTTCAATATGTTGAATTTCTTATTTCCAGGTTCGCTATGGGGTTTTGCCCCATATGCGAGAAAGACATTCATCGACCAAAGTCCCACTTCGTTTGTACAACTACTGATCCAGCCGATAATGTTATACTTCTATCCACCTTAGCCAGATGTCGCATTGGATTGGAGTTGGCTAGTGTGCTCTACTTACGATGGCAACATCAAATAGATCGTATCTGCGAATCTCACATGGTCCAAGCAGTGAGTATTCTTACATGTGTACGTTTGAGCGCGTTAGGACGGCCATTTACACAAGTATGGGCAGGTGGTTGCACGCAGAGACTGGACGTATTTGTGTCCTACTAAGATAGTCGTTAAAAAGCAGCAGACGGCTAGGAAGATGAAAAAATGCACTCCATCACAGAGACGCCGACTACGTCTCCGCAGTTGCATCCTGTCTCTGCGTGTGATGAACCGACTATAAGCGCAAGCGGCGCAGCATAGCCAGCAGCACAAAGATGTCAGCTGATCTGTTCGCAAAATAATATCACTAACCGCAAGCATATAAGTTCCTATTCAGACATCCATACTTTCTTCCGAGGTACAACAACTTCTTGGCAAAATGCCAGTGAACCTCATAACCGCCCCAGATGAGGTTGTGGACGATTTCGTTGTCCATGTGCGAATGTATGGAACACTTATTAGTGTAGGTATCTTTCTTAATCACATGTGGAACTTATTGTAGCTAAGAGTCCTTCAGGATAATGTATATTTGGAGAAGAAGCATGTGGTAGATTTCTTTGACTCCAATTATACGAGGTACCGCAACGCAGTGCTTAGAAAACTGAAGATAGAGGACGGTGCTGTAGCAGAGACGAGAGGCGACTCCGACACCGTGAAGGAGGTGAGTTTTATATCTGCTGAATGCTTATTGATCAACACGTTGACGAAGGTGCCGCGCAATGGTGCTCGGCATCGTAGTTATCAACTTTATGCCCAATCATTCTAATTTGTGTTCATCTAATCAATTTGGGGAGCGTGTGGCGGTGGTATGAGGCGCGTTATGGCCAGGATGGACCCAGACTCAATCCCGCCCCGGGGCTAACCAAGCCCTCTGCCCTCCGGGGTGGCAAATTGGTACCAGAGTAATCTGGGAGGATAAAAGCACTCAGCGGGCAATCGGGTGGCCCGCAGTCACTGTAATGGGCCCCACGCTTTCATTAGCTTCTTCGACTATGAGTACAGTGCATTCGGCGCTCGCAGAGAGTAATGAAGACGCAGAATCCTTTATCCTTTGTAGTCATGTTAGGCTCAGAAGTATTTCATGTTGACCCCGCCCTTCTTTTGGCAAGCTTTGCGCACTGCGTTGCCATCTGGGAGAAAAATTTTTTTGGGCTCAAAGCGCATAGAAAGGTCATAGGCGAATGGGAACCTAAAGTGAGCTTAATCCCGGCCCTGTCCCTGGTCAGGTAGGATCCGCCCCTACAATTTTTTGATGATTTTCAAGCACTTTCTAGCATTTTTTGTCGAGTGGGCGGAGTTTGCACAAGAAGGCGGAGCTGCCCGGCCCACTTGCATATTCATAATCCATGAATAAGTGCATGCATCTTCACATGCAGCGAGGCGTAGAAGTGCACGGAAACATTTCGCCCACAGGAACAGACACGAAGAAATGGCTCGTCGTCAGCGTGTTAATTAATCTATGCTGCTTCAACCTGTTGATTTTTAGAAAGTTGATGTGTTGTAGAAGCTTATTGTATATCCTACTTAGCCGCGGACAGCTTCTTCTAATAATGGGCGACCTTCAAGTTCCAATGATGATGTCCATTCTCGGGAGCCCGACTCTGCAGGTATGTTGGGCCTTTTTTATTGTTTAACCCAACCCTTTTCAAAATGCATCTTAGTTGATTTTAGATGGTGGGTTCAATCCAGGTGTCTCTGGCGGATCGTATGTGCCGCTCGACATTCTGAATGGAGAGAGAGTCAATTCTTCTAATGGTACCGGACAAGGGCAGTGTAAAACAGGACCTAGTACTTCGACGAATCGTGAAGATCTCACCGAAGATGGGGAGAAAGTGCACAGCTCGAAAGACTCCATAAAGCAGCAGTCACGTAAGTCTTCAAATGAGTTAGTTATACTTCCAAGTTATTGAATTTTCCCATTTATGGCAACTACGGACGTGACGCTGCATTTACCCTGATCTATGAACGCCCTTCTCTTGAAGGCAGCGTCCACCCAAAATGCCTTCCATGTTTTCCCATTCTGGAGCCTTTCCGTGCCCCTGATTACAGTTTCGAACTTCAAACTCTCCAAAATTCACGAAAAACCCGATTCTTGGGGACCCTGTCTGAGGGCGCGGACGAGTTTCGAATCGCTCGTCCCCGTCGGCAGGCCAGCGGGGAGGAGCTCAATTGCATGGGTGAAGTTGCAGCAGTGTGCAGCTTCTGCTCACTACCATGTTGAAGGCAGTGTCCGGGCAAAAACTCGATTTTGAGATTTTGTGCTTATACGGGCCTATTCGCCATGCTGATCCGAAAATCCACACGCGAAAACGGCGAAAAAAGGGCTCTAGTGCAGGAGGGAAACAGCAAGTGGGCGGGGTCTTCCCCACTGTAAATTCACGCTTCCACCTTCCGAAGCGGTCTGATCCCGCTAGCCGTCCTAGTATCGCTAACGGCCAAGTGCGAATGACTTACTTGAAACCGGAAGCGAGAAGACAGCTTCGAAAGCTGGAAGCGTGAATTCACAATGGGGAGGACCCCGCCCACCTGCTGATTTCCCTCCTGTGTTAGAGCCGTGTTTCACCCTTTTCGCGCTCTCCAATGTGCATTTTCGGATTCAGCATAGCGAATAGGCCCGGGTGAGCATAAAATCTCAAAATCGAGTTTTTACCCGGACACTGCCTTTAACACGTGTCGGGAGGCATGAGTCTGATATCAGACTCCGCCCACCCAGGAGCTTCCAGGCCCCCTATCTCCATTCAGAGACAACGTTAGAAGACCGAACCAAAGCAGATGCCCTTTTCTGGGGCCTGCATTCAGGATCGACACTAATCGGAGGAGGTTCGGTTTAACCGGGACACTGCCTTTAATAACGAAAAATTTCAAGTCGCAATAATGCTTCGTAATGAGCTGTTTCCTATTCAACTTCTTTATTTGCTGTGCGGTTTCCTAGAAGAAGTTATGAGTGTTCGAAGAGCCGAATGTAGCAGACATTCGATGCCACAATTTCAAAAAATAGTTGTTCAAAATCACTTATTCAAGTTGCCTGTGTATGTGCATTCCTTCTAGTCAGTACTTCAACATCGTATCAATTATGTACCTCGTTCATAGCCCATCGTTATCAAAAATACCCATATCATTACTCTTTCAAACTCACCGCCCACCCTAAGTTAGCGCTCTTAAGTTTATGGATGCGATAGTAGGATCCCTTATCAAGCCAATGCCCAAGTTGCGGCACAAAATGTCGCTTCGGAAGCGAGAAAAGTTAAATGCGCGCCTCCGCAATTACACACTGCACCATATTTCACGCCTAAAATCACAATTTCATGGGCATTTTGTTCCCGCAACCGACATGAGATTCTGAAACAGAGATTTATTTCTAAAATTTAGATTCAGTAGAGAAAATGATCGAATTGACGAGGAAATTGGGATTTAGATGTTTCCGAAGCTGCACTATTCAATGTCAATAGTTGTTATGCTCAAAAAATCACGAAACTGGGTTTTGAAATGTTTCAGAATACAAGTGCAAAAGTCCAAGTTCGACCAATTTTCTACAATGAAGATTTGTGATCTGAATAATAAATTTGTGGTAAAATCAAGTCATAGCAGAACTGCTACTCCATTCGTACAAACTCAAAGCATTACTGATTATCTGCAGAATCAGATCGCCAGATGTGAGAAATAATGTGGCAAAATGTCGCAGCTTGTAACAGAAGAGACAAATTGAGCCCTAAGAGATAAGGCATATGCGAAAGTCTTGGCGTTATAACTGACTGAATGGCTCCAAACAGCGTATAGGTTACAACCTCTATAGGTATGATTGCGACTGTCTTGCCTAAAGCAAATGGTCATATCGTTGAAAATGCCCGAGGGAGGATCACTGATGAACTCACATTCGCAATTTTGTTTCTGACTTTTTCCATATTGAAGAGAATTAATGTCTAGATTATATTGAAACTGCTTAAATACCAGTTTAGTGGCGAAGGGGAATTACTCCACTGAACTTCAGATTCGAATTTTGTTTGAAAACCCAGTTTTAAGATTTTTTGAGCATAGCAACTATTGACATTGGATAGAGCAGCTTCGGAAACATCCAAATCCCAATTTCCTCGTCAATTCGATCATTTTCTTTACTGAATCTAAATTTTGGAAATTTGAAATCTCTGTTTCAGCATCTCATGTCGGTTGCGAGAACAAAATGACCATGAAATTGTGATTTTAGGCTTGAAATATGGTGCAGTGTGTAACTGCGGAGGCGCGCATTTAACTTTACGGCTTGCTTCGGTTACGGTAACTATTCAATTTGGGTTTTACTTCTATAATCTTGTCACTTCAAGTTCGAAGCGCTAACTACACAAGAGAAAGGGAAGCGGGGTAAAACAAAGAACGGAAAAACAATGAAATGAAAACGAAAAGTGGCTAGGAGCCTAAAAGTGGCCAACAGATTGATGGAATTTCCTGCTCTTCTGCACTTTTTTGCTCTCTTTCAAAAAAAATGCCTGCAAAAATATTGCAGCGGCCTCCTGGAAACAAATGGAATAGTTTTATGCAAGAATAAAACGAAAAGACGATGAACGAGCGGAACAACACGCATAATCGGACACACAGAGCAGAACAGCGCTTATTCCTCAACCCGCTTTGCGCTCGGAGTTCCACTCATCAAAAGGAAAAGCGGGGTGGAGGAATAAGGCCTGAAATGAGAGAAACTTAGAAGAAAAACCGTTAGAAACAGTCAAAATACTCCAACTGCGCATGCAGCACAGTTCCGGCACAGTTCGAGCACAGTTCGAGCGCTGTGCTGGAACTGTGCCGCTTTGTGCGGCTCAGTATGAACCCAGCCATAGTCGCGCGTATGCTTTGTCAGTGCCTCACAGCACTAACTTGATATCTCTTTCTCCATATGTAGGGATGTTACAGTGATAGGCAGTCTGAGATTCAGAGTCATTATTTATAGTCCGTAACAATCACATATGTTATGAAGTTCTATATCTGCAGATGAATTGGCGAGTTCATCTGAACGCTCAACCTGCACGTTGTGCCTGGCTTCCTATCCATTGACAAAAATGCACGAAGTGAGCAGTCAAAAACAGCGGGTCCTTCTTATATCGGGATTACTGATGGGCAAAGAGATATCTGAGAACCTGGCCTGTCGTATTTACAAGGAATGCGGCTCTGAGTGCTCGTATTTTTGTAGACATCACTTGGTGAAAGCAGTAAGTTGTACTTTTACTTTTTTTTGGAGAGTGAGCCTTGTCATGCTTCCAGGTTAATCACATCGCCAAGGAAGTCAGAAACTCAACCGGAAAGTGTTTGACACATAGTCTCACCGTTTCTAGAGCTGATGGAGGCGATCTGCTGAGGCGCATCAGAAAAGTCACGTCTAAAATCGATGTAGGTTGTTCCGCGCATTGACAGTGATGTATTCTCAATAATTTTAGACTGAAGTAGAAGTCAAGATTGATGATTTGATAGCGTTCTACCGCGACTGTCAGGCTGACTATCAGGATGAGGAAATTTACAAGGTATCATAGTCTTCTAAGGCCCCGGTCAGACTTCACGCGACTTAATCGTCGCGATCTAATCGCCAAGATTTCCATTCATTTTCATTTCACATTCAAAAGTTTCGGGCTGGAAAAGTATCACAACCGAATGCAAGTTGATCGGCATGGAATGATTTTGTAACAGTTGTCTCGTCGCGACAGTCGCGACGATCAAATCGCGTGAAGTCTGCCCGGGGCCTAAGACCTCGGGCAGAGTTCACGCGATTTGATCGTTGCTATTCAATCGCGACAAGACAACTGTTACGAGTTCATTGCATGCCGACCAGCTTGCATTTTGGTTGTATACTTTTCCGGCCCGAAATTTTTGAAAGTAAAATGAAAATGAATGGAAATCGCGACGATCAGATCGCGTGAACTCTGTCCGAGGCCTAACTGGTTTTTCACCATACGTTCAAAAACACTTCTCTTCTTTTGAAACTTTGAAGATAGTCGTTTCTAAGCGGGAGCGAGAAACCATCTAGACAGAACCAGTTCATATGGTTCGCTGTCATTCATTGCGCTGTTTGCGCCTATCACACGAATACCCATCAGATCTACACATTCCGGATGCGCACTAGAGTTGTGCTGAGATGGGTTAGCTCGGGATGTACATACCTTTCATATACGCATGAGCAGCTGAAGGGCATAAACTCGGTCATGTGGTCCTTCCATCATCAGTTATAACATGTGAAAATCACCTAATCGTATAGCCGTCCTTCTCATCAAGCCTTGAATGCAATAGAACGCTTAGTTTTTATCTTTCAAGCCTTTAAGTGAGTGAAACAACTATATTTTTTGAGTGTTTTCTAAGCTCTAGATGAGATTTGATAGTCTTCTGTTTATGTATCACGGATGATTTAACTACAATATTTCAGTCTACTCTGGATGGCAGTGCTTCCAAAGAAGTCAAAAGTGAGTACTTTTTGTGATTTCTCGTGAATGAACTTGGCACTACTTGTGATAGTTTGTCAGTGCCCTAAGTGCAGGCTTTAGATGGGTGCCTCACAGTAACGGACACACAGCAAAAGTCAAAAAATGGACTTACGTGGCTAAGGTTTGTAAATTCATGTTATATTATGATGAGTGCTGTTTGGATCACCAACAAAGCTAGTTATAGTTTTCCTTGTTTGATATGCGGCAAGCGTAATTCGAATATGGAGAGTTGTCCTGTGCTGAAACCAGTGGACCAAAATCTAGTACTCCTTTCCTGTCTTGTTTCGAGTCAGGCTTTAACTTTGCAAATGGCACAAATGGTCTTTAAGGAGATGTGCTATAAGAATAAGCGCATATGTTTAAAACACCACATACAAGCAGTAAGTTGATTGAATTCATGCTTTTCCTGTTTGTATTGGGACTATTTGACATCGCCGATTCAGGGAAAGTGGCTGTTCAAATCAGCAGAAGAGATTCTGACGCAAACTCCCCCGCGTGACTTCGATAAGCTCCCTGATCAAGTGAAAATGAGCTTGCTGACTCGACTTAGGGAATATGCTACTCAAATCGAGGTGAGCTCACTTTTTTGCTTTGTTATGAAGCCAAATTCATAGCTTGCTCAGACTACTAAAAACACAGCGATGAGATTTTAAGGACTAAGCGCACTTGGAGGCGTCTAAACTCATCGCTAGAGATCTGAATATCTCGCGCGATGATGTCTGATGATGCCTGTTATTTTCAGACAGCTTCTGCAGTTATTCGCAGCCATTTCTGTAATTTTAGTCTTATTTATATTCGCAGCCTTGTACTGCGTGCACTCATAGTACTGAGTCTAGGGTGCGCTCCGCAACGCTTGAACTATAAACGCCCTCGAGCCAGCGGTGTAACGAGCACACTATGTTTATACTAATGCATTACAGGAGAATGGAAACGTGACAGACGAGCATTTGCTGAGATTCTACAATGATTGCCAGCTGCGCTATCATACCGAAAGCGGTTGGACTAATGTAGATCTATGGCGATATGTATGTATATCAGAAAATTGTTCATAGCAAAAGTCGATAGATTTGTTTTCAGAATAGAGCAGATGCTATGGCAGCATATAAGGCGATGATCAGACTATCGTCCTTAGCAGAGAAACGACCGGCTGAAATCGAATGTAGGTTCTCACAGTCACTTTGCGCGTCTAGTCGTTCTACTGCTAATTTTTCATGAATGTTACCATTTGTTCTCAAATTACTGCTTGGTGTTCTTGAATTGTGCTAGGAAAGTTCTACAATGCATTCTGCTCTCCTACTATACAAAACTTATTGGTGCGTAGAGAACTCTACGACTTTAATTGATCTATTAATTTAATTGGATTGCACTGTGATTGTTTAGGTTGACGAGTCAGATTTCTTACAAGGGAACGATCCCAACTTAAGGCGAATTGGAATGAATTGCATACCATTATATGCGTCTTGATGAGCTGATTCCAAATCTACCTTCCATATCTGCGACAACGTTATTTGCAAAAAGTTATGAGCGGTTGAAAATGTGAAGCTATTGGGGTTTCAATGCATAATGTGCTTCAAAATCCAACTTGAAAGTGTATGACTAGCATGATATTGAGTGTGCTGATTTCAAGGAATGCTCACATTCTAAAGAAACACAAATAAGTGTTTTTGAACAGCTAAAAAGCAACTAAAGCTCTCTGGTAAAAGCTATGAGCAATGAAAAATCCAAATTTGGCAAATATACAGCGCCATTTCTCGAAAATAAGTTGTTCAAAAACACTTATTTGTGTTTCTTTAGAATGTGAGCATTCCTTGAAATCAGTACACTCAATATCATGCTAGTCATACACTTTCAAGTTGGATTTTGAAGCACATTATGCATTGAAACCCCAATAGCTTCACATTTTCAACCGCTCATAATTTTTTGCAAATAACGTTGTCGCAGATATGGAAGGTAGATTTGAAATCAGCTCATCAAGACGCATATAATGGTATGCAATTCATTCCAATTCGCCACCTTAAGTTGGGATCGTTCCCTCGTTAGGCCCCGGACAGACTTCACACGATATGATCGTCGCGACTGAATCGCGACGAGACAACTGTCACAACATCATTCCATGCCGATCAACTTGCATTTCGGTGTTATTTTTTCAGCCCGAAGTTTTTGAATGTGAAATGAAAATGAATGGAAATCTTGGCGATTGAGTCGCGACGATCGAATCGCGTGAAGTCTGCCCGGGGCCTTACTGAAAATGGATCGCAACTAACACAACTAATTTCAGTAAAAAGCTTATTGAGGGCGACATACGGCCAAGCTCAGGGGTTTCAAAACTTGGCGGAAAAAAGTGCTGCGAATGACTCTTTGATGGGTGACTTCAGTTTCAATGAGGCTAGTCGAGTACACTCGATGGTCTCATCCAAAGATCTCAATCGCGACGATCAAATCGCGTGAAGTCTGTTCGGGGCCTTAGACATTCTTAAATTTTGCTTTCAGCTGATCCTGTGCCAACAAAACGTGCGGATGAAGAAAAAAATCAAGAGTCTAGGTAAATCCTTATTGTCATACACATGGAATAAAGGTTTTCATACCACTTGCATATTGTAAGACTTTTTTAGCAGTTTGCTGGTTTCCATGCTCAATTCTGGGAGAATGTGAGTCCTCTCTGTTGTTAGGCTTTTTGTAAGTAGGACTATCTCTGTTCTAAGTGATTTTTCTCACAAGATATGCTCTTAGTCGAAGTGGCAATTCGATGAGATGTATGTTAGCGAAGTCATTTATGTATGCTTGAAAAATAAGGCTGATTACGTTACTACACCATTTGGTGTAGGACCACGGCAGTATGTTCTATCATGTAAGAACGTTGCAGCGCGATTGTGGTCATTCATTGCGCAGAAAATCCATGTTTATTACTTTGTCAAAAAGCACTTTTGGTTTTTTGTTCCTGGAACAACAGCCTTTTTCAAAAGGGTTTCGCAGATAAGGTTTGCAGTTTGAAGATCAGCATTCTTCAGAGATCTCAGCAAAGTGTATCTATCCCATCTTGAATGGTCACTTCGACAGGAAAAACATTCCTCGAGCGATTCGGGCAATGTTGGCATTTTTCTTTCTGTTCATTTTTTCTTCTGCAGCCCAAATCAAAGACATTCTTTCAGCGAACAGCAACAAACAACATTATCAGGGAAATGTTCTTTATGTGGCAAGGCAGATCCATTCAAGCGCTACCGTATTACTCCGCTGAGGAACACCATCTCGAACGTCCTCCTTTCCTGTTTGATCATGAACGGTGTCACTGAGGCGGAGAAGGGAAAGAAGCTTTACCGGAGTTGGCAAAAATATGGAAATCTAATCTGTCACGACCACTTTCACTTTGTGGTAAGCTCTATGATCATTATTTTTGTGAGATTCGAAGCAGATGTACATTTGGCTGCGATTGTTTTTTTTTCTCAATCTCGGTACTGAAGCAGCTTTTATAAGAAAATGAGCTGTCATCCCGGCTTCCACCCGGTTTGGAGCAAGTCCATAGTGCATGACCTCTCATGTAACAAAACCTACTTTTTTGATTCGTCTTGGGTTCCCTTTCTACCGTCCTTACCATACTTTGATGACCAGCAGATTGAAATGAGATTCTCCTCTCATCCTTCATGGCTATAGGGAAAGTGTACAGACATGCACTCAAATTTTCTGTTTCATATATATGGAGATGTTGTTGAGTTTTTGTACCTATATGTCAATCTTATTTTGGCACTTCAGGCAGAATGGCTCCAGAAGAAGTGGGCAGGGTACGGGGAACTTACACAAGTGCGGTTGACTCATATTCGTGAACTGCTGCAAGATCCACTGTATATTATTCTGGTAGATGTCTCTAAATCTGTTGTTGTAAGTACTATAAATCGAAATCGAATGGATTTATTGAGCTTTTTTCAGGGAGAAGAGATGAAGATGACAAGGTGCTCATTCAAAGCTTTCTTTTCTGAGTACAATAAATTTTATCAAAAATATAGAAAGAGGCTTGTCAAGGTATATCAAGACAGTAAACGGGTGAGGCTTTGTTCTTCAGCATCATTTCCTATCATATAAGTTCTTAGCATCCTTTCAGGAACTGATGCAGGAAAGCAAAATAGAGCAAGAAGGTGCTGCTCCGGAAAGTATGGATATCTCTCAGAATTCTGCCTACACTGATGAAAAGATGCCTGGAATGGATTGGAACGCTATGTCTTTCATACCCGTCGAGAGTGTTGAGAATGAATCTTCCGAAGATCATTCTCGTTCAGGTAAATTTTGCGGAACAGGCACTTAAACACCTTTGAATATTGAAGTCCATTTGCTAGCGTATTAGCAAGCAGTAGATATCTTGAAATTCCACACTATCAGAGCTTGACAATAGTTGATACAGACAAGCATTTTGAACATATGTTGAGTTCAAGGTACGGCCTTTCGAAAGGTATAGGTATGTTTTCGTCGGGCTACACATAATGGTTGATTCAACTGGTTTGCCGGCTGGAAGGTGGAGTTTTGTGACCCAATCAAGGCCGCTCGCGCCCGTTACGCAGTCTGTCTCTCTCATGCGATTGCTCTCTGATCATTACGTAGCCTTAATTAGGTCACGAAGCCCCGCCTTCCAGCCGCCAAGCAAGTTGAATCAAAGGTAGCTTTTGCTTTGCTATAGCTACGGGAAATATCTTGCTGCTTGAACACTTGTGCTATCTTTGAGTGTGAACATATTTCACTTATAGTGGAGTCTACCGATGAATATAATATTAGGTTGACTCGAAAGTTCTGGGACACTGCATTTGGATAGAGTTTTTGTTTGGATGTACGCATCAGTTGGGGCATGCTGCATACCACTAAATAGTGGAAAGAAACCTTATCTTTACAGAACTATGGTAAGCAGAAGCAACATCAATGTTTTTTGTGAAAATTCGGGCGAAAATTCCAAAACATAGGATTTTGACCTAACCCAGATCTCCAACTACTGTAAACGTTTTGAAATCCCCACATGCTCCAATTTATAGTATAAACATACCTATATACTTACAATCGCAGTTGTGCGGTATTTGAGCTTAAACAAGAAAATCGAGGTGATTAAAAAGTGGCAAACTCCGCCCCCTTTGGTCCTAGGCTCCTCCGAATTGCTTAGATATCAGCTACAGGCGAGGGAGAGTACAACCGCAAATTTTCGAGGATGTACATACATTGGGTTTCGAGAAGTAGCAAATTTAGTCCGAAAATGTCCCAGAACTTTCGAGCCAACCTAATATATTAGGTCGTCCCGAAAGTATTTTCGCTTTTTTCAAACGGTTGCCACAATCGATGGAACAAACCTTTCTAAGAGATCTTGGTAGCGTTCGATGCAGAATTTCATTCTCTCTCTAATGTTTATAAAACTGTTGCAAAACAGTCAATGAGCTTTCAGAAAATAACCAAAGTCTGCGACCCATGCTTTTTGAGATGGTCATGTTTCACGAATTTTTGAAACTTTCATATCAACCCTCAGAAGGAGTTCAAGTAACGATTGGATAGAGTAAACTTTATAGAATACAGTATCACTTTTTTCTCCTTTCCATAGCTTGTCATACATTTTTAATAGAATTTTAACTGATGCTACCGATTTCCATACTTGGACAGCTAAATCCTTGTAGAACATCAAAGGAAGAGCAGCTCGGGTGCTGTTTGATGCAGCATTTTCTCCTCTTTCTAATGGGTGTTTTTTGTTTCCGATTCGTTTAGTTTTCGGGGATAAAATCATCACAATTCATTTCTTTAGGGAGCCCCCAGGCTGTACTCGGAAAACTCCAAATTTGATATTTCGAATCCTTAAACTCTCATTTGCTTTATAAATTCAATATTAAGTCATATATCATCTTGAAAGCTTGAAATTCCGAGTAACTACTGATGTTTGATGCGATTGTGGCTGAGGTGGGACTGCCAAAATCCGATGGCTTTGTTAAAAAATCTTTTAAAAAATTACGGCGAGCTACGAGAAAGAGAAAAAAGAAGTACTGTATTCTACGAGGTTTATTCTATCGAATCGTTACTTGAACTCCTTCTGAGGATTGATATGAAAGTTTCAAAAATTCGTGAAACATGACCATTTCAAAAAGCATGGGTCGCAGACTTTGGTTATTTTCTGAAAGCTCATTGACTGTTTTGCAACAGTTTTATAAACATTAGAGAGAGAATGAAATTCTGCATCGAACGCTACCAAGATCTCTTAGAAAGGTTTGTTTCATCGATTGTGGCAACCGTTTGAACAAAGCGAAAATACTTTCGGGACGACCTAATATTAATGAAATGACTACGCTAATGATATTGTCCCATTGAATGAAAAACTATGAACCAGGGTACAACTGATTTGATGTCTCTGCAGTGAGCAATCTTTTGGGGGAACAGTGCTATGCTTGTGAATGTGACAAACTCTTGCGTTTTGCGTGTAAAAAAATGACCATAGAGTGTACATTGCTATTGTTTCCGCGCAAATGTTATTTATAACGTAAGAACACCATACAGACATTGGCTCTACAGCTATAGGCCATTCGTTGCGCGCAAAGACTGCGGACATATCGGCGTCCCACTGATCAAGCACTCTTTCGTTTCTATTACCATCTGCGATCTCTCCTAAGCACGAGCTATCTTGGTTGGACGTGACAACGTCCAGTCTTTGCGTGTTACGAATTGCCATACATTTTAGTCTATGGTTGGACTAACGCAAATATGGCAAAGAGCAACCTTTGATGTGAAACTTTTGCTTGAGCACACCCCGGTTTTTTTTTAAATCCGACATGGAGGAATATTTTGCGCCTTGACCCAAATCAGTTCAGACTCGACGTATGCGAGAGTTTTCCCAGCTCATCTTTTCGATTCGGACTCAAAACCGCTCAGCCAAGCAAGCACTTCGTCAGGCTAGTAAAGACTACATCTCAGCGGAAAAACGCTGATATTACACAAGTTTCAGAAGCGGAAAACCAGAACAATATTGCTGATGAAAAAATGCCGGAAGATCCTTCTTTTTGCACTGAATTTTCAGCAGAAGATCTGCTGTCAGGGCAGACTGCTACCGGTAGTAGAGGTAATTTTTCTTCGGAATTCTTGCAATTTTCAATTTTCCAGAACACATTTTTTCAGAAATGTGTAATGCTGATGAGCAAGAGCCTTCCACCTCGACCGATCAATGTAGTGCGCTTACGAATGGAGTGTTGAGGTAAAGAAAATGTGCATATTGTTAGATTTTTCCCAGTTTACATCGAGTCATTTGTAACTAAATCCATACTGCACACTACGCGCGCTATTTCACGACTTGCAAGATGGAATTTGTCAATTTTCTGGGATTTATTATCGATTTCTTCTCCTCTTGATCTGATTGTACATGCGTTAGGTAGCAGTACACTTTTCTACCGTTTGTTCAACTAGAAAATGTTCCACTGACTGGTTAAGAAACGTCGATTGCCGCGCGCAGTGTGTTATCTCACACATCAAAGTTACGAGTGGCTCGCGCGCAACCGCCATAAAGGCACCGCGCCATACTTGGTCCTCTTGATCCACTTGATCCGCTTCATTCACTTCGCTATTGGTCTAATTATTGAACTGACCAATAGCGAAGCGGATGTCCGTTTGATGTACTTGCCACGTCCTCGCTATTGGTCAGTTCCTTGCACGGCTCGGCACGAGCTGGCACCAGGGAATTTTCAAAACGAAGTCCCCCTTGAAATTTGCTAATTTTTACGAAGTCCCCTTTGATCCTCAACGATATCCCCTCTAAAGTCCTAAAAATCCCCCCAAAAACGAAACGTCGACTAAAAAAAAACGTCGCCGTCGCCAATTTTGCGTATATCTTCGCCCACAAAAACGAAACCCCCTTTGCTTTTTGCCCCAAAAACGATATCCAGCTTGCCCCGTGCCAGCTGGTGCCACGCCCTGGTTCCTTGGTTTGATCAGTAGTGAAGAGGATGAAGTGGATCAACCGGGTCAAGTGTGGCGTGTACCAAAGTTTGCGATGCGGTTGCATGGCAACCCAGAGCTTTCAAACTTTGATGCCAGAATGTACCCTATTATTTTATCACATAATGACTCAAACAGTATGCTTTTAGAGACGCCGCTGGACAGCCTACGTTGCCTGACGTACTTTCTGCGCCATCAGCGGCATCAGGGGCACACCCTCTAGATCGAAAGGAAGTACAAAACAGAGCACTATTTGCTAACGGATGGGGAATCACTAACATTGTGAATATTGCGCCCAATGACGTACTCGACCATATAACGTCACGGCTGGGCATAGAAGCTGTGGCTTCATATCTTTACCCCAATCATTTCATGCAGAGACCACCGCTGAACGAAGCTCAGCTTCGAAGTCGACTGGAAATGTTCTACGCATTGTCGTTGAGGAATCAAATGGCGCCGTTCCTTCCAAGGATCCTCACATTTGGTGTGAAACGAATCTATTACGACAGTCATAAACGCATACCGCTTCACTGTACGGGAGAACTACCCGGTGATAGCGTTCTACTCACGGTATGGTGGTCCTCAGCGGGGGTAATATATCACGCTTTTATGCAAGATGATCCGAAGACGCAAAAGCGTAGATATTTGACCCCGTCACTTTTTTTGAGCCAGCTGGGTGAAGTGCACAGGATACTACGGACCAGGAATATGGAGATGCCTTTACCTATAATACTTTGCGATGAACCCCAACCCTACATTAACCAAGATGTAATCACGAAGATGCTTCAGCGAGGTATGGAAGTTCTGCCGTATCCTATGAATGCAACGGATCTCCTACCGTCCCACTACCATTTCTTTCCATATTTCTACAAATTTATTGAGAATAGGGACTATTCATATATTTATAAGTTGAGAAATGATTTAAAAGATTTTATCGCCACTAGGCCTCCAAATTTCTACGTTGATGGCATAAATGAACTTGCGTCACGCTGGAATAAATGTGTTGAAATGAAGGGTACCTATGTTGATCTCTAAAATTTCCGTTGTTTTTGTTTTCTGCTTAGTAAGAAGTGATGAACAAATCTGTATTATGCATAGATCCAGTTGCCTGGTGATTCTATTGTTTTATGTGCTACTTTTCTGTATATTAGTAAAGAAGATTTTCATTTGATATGGTTTCAAACACGAAGAAATGTCTTCATGATTCCCGACTGCGGGTGCAAAAACCGCTTCGGAAGCAAGAAAATCGCTTCAGAAGTTCCGACTGGCCTAACTTATATCATCGCTAATAGACAAGGTGAAATCTTCGCGCCTTGACTATTTACTAACCTCCTCCCACCCCTTTTGTTCTCAAGTCGTGCTATGCGTTCTAAACGAAATTGCGAAACTCATTCACTTGCTCAGAACTTCGCGAGGGTCATGTATCAGGTTGGCGGATAGTTTTTGTTACACTTTTATTGTTATTTGTTAAAAATCTGAGAAACTCGAAAATTCTTATGTCCAAGGATTGGACGGGGTTAAAGATCTACCCACCTGTACTCTCACATCCGAGATCCATGCGCAAAACACCCATTTTATCGGTGGAAGTCAACTTGTGGATATTTTTGTCAATGGCCTGGCATTCACAAGATCAAGGAGAGATCAAGCGACGTGGTCATCAGTTGGGGTATGGCCCATAAATTTTAGCGAAAATAGGGAGATGTCCGCATACTTCCACATGAGCTACATGGTCTGTATTAGCCATTCGCATTTCAACATGAAAAACAATCCTTGAAAATTTGCAAAAATTATTTCCAGCCTCTCTGCATCAGATCCTACATGATGCAAAGAGGGAAAAATTTTCAACGATTTTTTTTTATTTATTCTTCATCCCTCGTTCATGTTTTAGCGGCACCAAAATGCTGCCAAATATACAGTTCGTAAGTATATCGCAACAAATTACGAGGTAGAAAAAACCCAATAAGACGCAGAGAAAAAATCAAGGAGAAATGAGAACTGAGTATGCTTAAAAAATGTTGTGAACTTGCTGGCTATTTGTCATTTGCGGCATCAATCATAGTGGTGTGTACGCTCTTTGATGCCCTACCTATGAAAAAAAAAATTAAATCTTTTAGAGAGCTTTCGGGATTTTTCAGTTCACAAAAAATGAAACGGAATTATCTGCCGACCTAAGGCTGCCCTTTAACGGCCCTCAAGCTTGCGGCTAATTGTTGAAGTAGTGCTTCGTACGTCGAGGCAGCCTTAGGATCGATGAATGCACCTGTTGCCGTTCGCAACTCAGCCTCGGGCATCTTGCTTGCTCGTGTCGATAGTGGGCGGATACGTTTGTCCTTATGCTTCGTTTCAGCTTATCCGGACCGCATCCATTTTGTTATTGGCAAAAAGCTGGCTCCTTTGTTTTGGGCTTTGGCCATGTTTGGCCATTGCCTTTGGGCTTTTAACTTGTGAATTATTCCTGATATTTTGTATCATATCATATTTATTCGCATCTTTTTTTTTTGACGCTGGGTCCCGTTTAGACGCATTGAACAGGGCTTGGCACGATATGGCTTTCCGAAAATGCAAAAAAATGAAGTCCCCTTGACTTCCCCCAAATTTTACGAAGTTCCCTTAAATCCTACATAAACAGAAAAAAGTCAAAAACAAAACGCCGACTAAAATACGTAACTTATGATGTGTTTGATGTGTTTTTTCGACCGCAAAAAACTATATCTCCTTTGCTTTTCGCCCCAAAAATAATACCCAGCTTGCTTATAAGCCACCGTGCCGATCCCTGGCAATAAATCTGCCTTTTTTTCTCTTTCTCAGAACTTCTTGCAATTTAAACCTTATAAACTGTAAGCTGCTCTGTAGATCTGCAATAAATATTAACCATCAAGTTCACAATCATTAAGGCTTCAAATATGATTGAGCTGTAGAAAAAATTGAAGATGGACAGTCTAGAAAACAGACTGCAAGGTCGAGGATCTGCCTCTAATTACAATTTTGGTCTAAGGCACAACTCTTCATAATTAAGGAAAATTCCTGCTCATCTGTTTTTGAAAATTGTTATAATTACCGAGTTTTGGTTGCATTTCCAATTTTTAGTGGCATCCTATATGATGAAATAATATACGTTAGGGTTTCTTTTCAGCTCTTTTTTTTTCGTCCTTTTTCGCTTCAATTTGAAAAATTGCCATTTATGATGCGCGTAGCAATTTTTTGAAAATAAATAATTTCGAATTCATTTCGTCTTGGTGTCTCATCACTTATGTTTGTCTCAACGTCTCAATGTAAAAATAAATAAAATAGAGAAGAAACACAAGGAAAATTATCTAAAGCACCTTGATTGTTGATATTTAGTGACATTTTCCCATACTTCGATATGCTAAAATTCTTAATGTCTCAATCAAGCTACATAAACGGTGGCTCCCATTTTATTTGCTTAACAGTGCAAACAGCATAGTCTCGAATTACTTCTCTATTTGGTAAGGTGCAAAAGGCTCCTCTAACCGCACACTATGGCTTTAGTCACGCCCATCAATGTCCAATTTAGCTATTTGTCAGTGGGCGCCTCCGCGACGGCTGAATGGACATCAATGCAACCTCGGCTTTCTCTATAGAATCGACATAGCACGTTCCCCGAGCCATTACGAGACAATCGAAAATGACATAGGGTTGAGTTGATAAGTCCTTTGCCAGTAAATCTTGTTGAACGGATGCTATATTCATTCTTTTAGGTATTTATCGCTCAGAAAATTCAGAAAAGAAAACGACGCGAAAAGAGCCTCTTGAAATGGAGCAAAAGAATGTGAGGTGGTCATGAGTCTTGCAGGATTTGTTTATAAAATTTAATCATAAATTAGTATTGGAGAGAGGAAAAAATTACAGAAATAAGTGATATCCTATTGTGACACTGCAAGTCTTCAGAACACTCATCGAATTTTTCCCATATTTGGCTGCAAAAAATGTCAAACAATCGAGATTGTTTTACTTTTGATTTTGCTGTGATTATCCTCGCTAAATAAGTTCATGCTCAATGTCCCTGCCAGTAGTCACGATTTTTTGATTTTAATTTCGATTTTTGATATTAATGCTAGTAAAATCTAAATTCAAGGTTTCAACTTAATGAAAATTGTTTGATATAATTTAAGGCCTTTCTCAAACCACTTTTGAGATTAATATTATCATTCTATTAGATTATTATTTTTAGATTACAATTCTTAAACCATTTCTGAGATTACTATTCAGCATTCTCACCGCTAGATCCATCAGCCAAATTCTACTCACGAAAAGAATTATGAGGTGTCAATTTGGACTTCTCTGCATACCTACACAATTTTTGATGAAAGAAGAATTTTTCACCTTTCTTCATTTCGCTTTTCCGTTTTATCTGTATTAGGTCGTTCCCATTTTCTTTCCTTATTTTATGTTTTTCTTTTGATTGAGCACCAACTACCATAGAAATTCTATTTAAAAAATACTAGAAGCATTTGACAGTGATTTTCGTCCTTTTCCTAGCAAATACGATTTCGTCCCGATCTGTTGGAAAATCCACCGGGGTTTGGGACGTTTACTCTTATTTGTAGCCATTTTTCACCTTTTCTACAGAACTTATGACTCTTTGGTATTAATTTCATCAAGTCTCGAAATCTTTGTTGAAAAAAATTTTTTTTACAAGAGAGTCATTGATAATGAAGGATCATTGCACGTAAAACCTTGAAATGCTGATTTATGTTTAAAGCATGATTGCCATTTTTCCTCTGAAAATGAGAACACTAATCGCTGATTCTTTTTATCACCTTCTCCGAAAAATTAAAACAATATTCACAAATTAGCTAATTGTAATAATTAGCTGTGTTAGTGTATTTAGTCGTCTGCGTTTTAATGCGCTACTAAAAAGAGTAAGGAAAGCAAATACGTCTCAACTTCATTCATTAGCATTATGTGAGATCTAGTATTCGTCTGAAAAAAAAGAAAAACCTTGAGTAACGATTCAATACTCAAAAATGTGATATTTGCTGATTTAATTTCAGAACTGGAAGGACTGATCTACATCATATGCAGTCTTGGTGCTGTGATCTGAGATGGAATGATGCTCCAGAAAGCGACATATGCGACAGCTTTTGTGTTGATTTTTTGCAAGATTTCGTTTTCCAATCTGCATTTTCCATATTTTCTGGAACTGGTAGTTGTTTTCTCTTAATAAATCTTATTATCAATCTTGAATTTGGAAAATTGAGCTGTTGTCTGTTCAGCCTGCTACTTACCTATACATACGTGGTCTATGCTTGAAGTGGCTTTTTGAATCCCATTCTGTTCATGGTAGATCTTCCTGCCCTCCAGTTTTTTAGCCGTTATACTCGCTGTTGAGTAGCGACAAATTTGGTGCAATTGCACTACTGTCCAAAACCGATCATCTCCTACTCATCGAAACTTTGTATGTGGGGGGGGGGGGGGGGAGTTACTTGACTTCCATGTGTATATTCTATGGGATCTACCGTAAAATCATAAAATACCGTTACCATAGCAAGCATGTAAGTGCGCGCTCCCCCGCCCCCTGCCTCTCATACAAACTGTTACAGAATTCTGAGGTATGTTTAGTCGAAGTGGCCTTTTTAGATGGGATGTATACCACCTTGAAGGGCATAAAATGCTGATTCCAAATCTGCTTCCTTAATTATAGAACGTTCATGAACGAGGAATTATGAGCTTATTGTAGCAAAAAATTATTGTTCAAGTAGGGCAAAAATAGCAGTAATATTTTTTCTAGCTCTTTAAAGGCGCATGATAATCATTAGAGCACTTTGTTTAAAAATACTGTAAATTAAAAAGTATACCAAAGTTGGTTGCGTTATTTAAGGGCTAGTAAAATTTTGGCAACCATTTTCCAAAATGCACATTCACGACTAAACAAGCTTCCCATGTGAGTTGTCCACTTACCGTATCCTTACCGTAACCTCGCCAAAGAGGCAATTTTATGCGGATTTTGCACCAATCTTATACTGCCATGCCAGATATCCCTTAAGGCCCCGGACAGACTTCACGCGATTTGA